GAGTCCTGAGTGCTGTGCAGAGAACTGAAATTGAGCAGTGACAGGGGCTGTACTACCTGGGGTGTCTGGGGAGGCCTCTGACAGGCAGCATTTGTGCTGATACCTCCATGATAAGAAGGCAGGCATTAAACTTTCTTTCTAGCAGAGGAAGTCATTCTTGGGGCGCATTTCCTCGGGAGAACGCTCATGTCTTAGAGCAAAGAGAAGGGCCTGGTCCAGTAAGGCACTGGGGCCTCTGCAGGGGCTGGGTGGGAGCTGAGGGGAAAAGGTTGGGAGTCAGAGGAGGACAGAGCGAGCTAAGTCTGGAACCTTGTCTGTCAAGAGGACTCAAGGTGGAGGACCCCTGGAGAGGACTCGTGGCCCTTGGAGCGTCTCCAAACAAGGCCTGACATCCTCACCAAAGTCATGTGATCCTTTCTTACTGTTTGAACAGCTCACCTCGAGGCAGAGGCTTAGAGAGCCTGGAGCTATCACACTGTTTGCGGCTCTAGAGTTCAGTGTGCCGTGGGTCTCACAGCTGGCCAGCTGTCGGTGGTTCCCACTGGAGGTCCACTGTGTCCTCCCGGCTCCCAGGGGCTGCCTCTACTTCCGTCACAGCCCCTCTCTCCACTGCCTAACCCAACAGCTGTGTCTTCTTCTCTGTGTCTCTGACCTCTGCCTTCAGCCTTGTGTAGGCTTCTTGGGCTTTCACCTAACTGTGCTATCCACCCTCCCCCGCCGTGACTCTTGGAACTACAGTGGGCCCTCTTGGATCAAGCAGGGCCATCTGCTCCATCTAGGTCTCGGCTTAAACACACCCGCAAAGCCTCCCTACCGCCTTGTGGCTTGCATCTGAACTGTCCCCTCACGGGCATGCTTTAGAGATTGGTCCCTCCTAGCGGTGCTACTTTGCGAGACCAAAGAGCCTCTAGAAGGTGGAACCCAGCCAGAAGAAGTTGAAAGTTAGACTCAGCCAGCCTGGTTCCCAATGTAGTCTCTTTTTCCTGATCTTCATTTTTCTTTGATAAATGAATCCCTCCCCCAGAAAGAAAGAATACTGATTGGGTCCAGCAGGTGGCGGCATGAGCCAGCCCTACAGAGACCCAGGCTGGTGCCTGAGGCCCCTCGCTGCCCTCGGTGTGGTAGGGCAATCCCTCTTCTCTCTTCTTTCTGCTTTCACCCTCTCCTCCAGCCCAGCACAGCCTTCCAAATTTCAGCTCCTCATACCACCAGGAAGCAGAGGTCCAAGGCACCAGAGTATCATGTGACAGACGTGCCCTGAAGAGGGCAGCCAGGGCTCACAGCTATCCTGTCAACAACATGGGTCTGGTCTGGTCAGTATAGCAGTTTGTTAACTTGCTTGTTTGGTACAAAGCACGTTTTGTTGCCCTTGGCAGTCTTCTGTAGTCCCCGTAAGCTGTGTAACTTGGTGACAAGGGGTGGGTAACTCCCTCCATCTCAGGCCTTGCCAGCAAAGGGCCACTGCAGGGTCATAGTCAGTGGCCAGTGATGCTTCTTGATGGGACCTAACACCCCACCCTCACTGTACGTGCGTAGAGCCCTGTCTGCTCAACTCTCCCAAGCTGTCCCTGCTCCTTTGCCCAGCATGGAGAGGACCCAGGCCCTATCACCTGAGGGGAATTTAGTAAGGGACAAGGAAGGGTGTTTGGGGTAGGGGGAAGGGCATAGACAAAGCTATGATATCTAGGGAGCCTGTGCTGCTTGAGAATTAGACCCGTGTGCAGGAAACTGCTTCTGACGATGTGGGCATGGTGTCTGGGGCCCAGGGACCAGGGTGTAGACACTCCTGCCAGCCCTTGAGAAAGAGTTCCTTCTTCCCTCAGGCCAGGTTGGTCCCATGACACAGGATCTGGGTAGATGGTGTAACAACCCCGCTGAGCTCCAAGTTCACATCTGCTCAGAGGCCTCTTGAAGAAGAGGCTGAATGTGGGACTCACTGGGGCCTGGGACTGAGAAAGGGACTTGGGAATTTTGGAGAGGGGGATATAGATAGAAGTTTCTGTGCCACCTAGACCCACAGCCATTCAGTTCCAAATAAATACACAGAGGCTTATATTAAGTATAAACTGTTTGGGCTATTAGCTCAGGCTTATAATTAGCTAGCTCTTACAACTTAAATCAACCCATAATTCTTGTCGTGTTTAGCCACATGGCTTGGTACCTTGTTTCTCAGTGCAACATTCTCATCTCACTTCCTCTGAGTCTGGCTGGCGGCTGCATCTCTGCCCTTCCTCTTCTCGGAATTCTTAGTCTGGTGATCTATACTTCCTGCCTGGCTACTGGCCAGTCAGCGTTTTATTAAACCAATATGAGTGACAAATCTTTACAGTGTACAAAAGCATTATCTCACAGCAGGAGGTCAAAATTAGGAAACAGTGTAAAACAGAGACAGGTGGATCTTTGTGAGTTCAAGGCCAGCCTGGTCTATAGAGTAAGTTCCAGGACAGCCAGCACTGTTACATGGAGAAACTCTGTCTCGTGAGAGAGGAATGGAAAAGACTAGGAAACAGGTGATTGCAAAAGTGAGGGTATTGTTTAAATAGATTTTATTTTTGGTATTTTATTTATATAATTTATAAATGATTGTATTTGTATGTGTAGGGATTGGCATTGTGTATGCGAGAGCAGGTGCCTATGGAGGTCGGAGGAGGGCTGCTCTCCCTGGTTGCTCTCCTCAGGACAGGCTGGCTGGAGATGGGGATGGATCTTGGATCTCATCCTAGGCCTGCCAGGTGGACAAGGGATGGAAAAGAACTCCGCTCGGTGGGTTCTGATTTCTGTCTCCTGCTGCCTTCCACAGAACTGTACCCACTTCAGGGAAACTTCACTGACAATATTGCGACGATGGCTAGTGACCCAGGCTTCAACCCAGTCTCCTTGTGCCCTACATGTAAGCAAAGCCCCAGGATGGGGGTTCTCTCTCCTACACTCCCTGCTCCAGCAGCAAGCTTGGATGCTGTGCCTAGAGGCTCCTCTCCAAGGGCAGAGCGCTGTGAATAAGAAACAGCACCAAAGCCAGGTGGTGGCTGTGCCTGCTTCTAATCCCAGCACTGGCAGAGGCAGGTGGATCTCTATGAGTTCAATCAAGGCTAGCCTGCTCTACGAAGAGAATTCCAGGTCAGCTGGGGATGCACAGGGAGCACTGAGTGTCACTGTGGGAGTGAGCAGGAGAGATCCCAAGGCTGATGGGAAGGCATGTGCTTCTCTGACAATCCACTCTGTGAGAGCTGACTCAGCATCCCATTGAGAGCTTCCTTAATCCTCCCATAGGCTTATCTTCAGAGACCAAAGACCTCTCATTAGGCCCCACCTCTTAAAGAAGCCACCACCTCCCAACATCCCCACACTAAGCACCAATTCTCCAGCTTGGGACAAGATGTGGGGACCAAAAGTGAGTGGGTGTGGGGAGGGCACTGGGGTGGAAGAAACACGAGGGAGCTTGGAGGGACATGAGGCCCAGTGTTACAGGTGGAGAGAGGCCACATTTCTCTTCTTATGAGACAGTGTCTCACTGTGTAGCCCTGGTTGGCCTGGAACTTACTATGTAGACCAGGCTGGCCTCGAACTCACAGAGATCTGCCTACATCTGCCTCCCGAGTGCTGGGATTAAATATATGAAAACACACAGGTCTGCTTTCATTGAACAGTTTTCTGGTTCCACAGGCTTATTTTAAACCCAGATGTGGTATGGTCTCAGACTCTCCAGCAGGGGTCACTGAAGTGCTGCCAGGGTAAGAGGGGGGCTGCCAAAGGCCCTTGGTGTTAGAGGAGCAGCCTTCCTTGTGGTTTAGCACAGATTTGCTTCCAGCGGGAAATGTACACAAAGAAAGGCCGGGTCACCCACTAAGCTTGGGGATGAGTCCAGGAAGGCGGGACCTGGCTGGGGCCCGAGTCCGCAGTGCAGGGGCCTTGGCCAAGGGCCCTGCCAGACCAACCCAGCCTTGGGGTTTAGTGCCTTTGGCCTTGGATGTCCTTTGACTAAAAAGGGGGAGCCTCTCGGCAGCAATCCCTAAGACAAGGACCCAGAACCGATCCTGGGACCAGTTCCCACAGCCTGGCCCTGGGTGGGTCAATCTGGGCTAGCAGGAAGGAAGGGCAGGCTGCTGCAGGCTGGGGAGGAAGTGGAGAGCTCCCTGGCAAGGAGGACAGTGAACTGTAAGTGAAAAGATGCTAAGCGGAGGTCAGTGGCCGGGTGGCCAGGGTCTCCAAGGACAAGGAGGCCCAGGGCAACATCTGTTTCCATTCCCAGTCAGGAGTGGAGCCAGTGGGGCAGCCACCCTGTACAACTGGGGAGGCCTTTCCCACCCTCCGCTCCTCCCCATCTCTTCCTCCTCAACCCCCTCATTCTTTCTACCCCTGCACCCAACCCCCCCCCCCCACACACACACACACGCACCCTTCGCTGAACATAGCAAGGGAGCCACAGGGGTAAGGCGCTGCTCCAGGGCACATCATGGGGCTGATGTGTCAGATGTCAGCTCTGTCTTCCGGCTCTCTGCTCAGAGAGGCTAGAGGCTAGCCGGAGGTCACACAGCAATGTGCTTGGACACAAGACCCAAGTTTCTCAACCAACAGCTGCTAACATCTCTGAATGTCTCTTCCTGTCTAAAGGCAAGGGACTAAGGATATACCACATAAACTCGATATGGCAGCGCATATCCGTAACCTTGGGAGGTGGAGGCAGGAGGATCAGAAGTTCCAGGGTTGGCAAGATGGCTCTGTGGGTAAAGGTGCTTGCTGCCAAATCTGGCAACCTGAGTCCACTCCATGGGATCCACACGGTGAACTCTCGAAAGGCTGCCTTCTGATCTCCACACCCATGCTACTGTGTCCCTCTCCAAAAATAAATAAGTAAATAAGTATAATTTTAAAGAACATTCAAAGGTCACCCTCAGCTACATGGGGAGTTCAAGCCCAGCCTGGGGCTGTAGGAGACCATTTCTCAAAAAGAATAATTTTTAAAAGAAAAAAGAATGTGATGTAGCTTTGATTAAAACTGGTCTTTTATCCATTCACGGGGAGAAGGGTGTTGTTAGCATATTTTTAATACAGGAAGGGCTCCCAGCAGCAAGCCAGCCTCGATCTGGCAAAACAATGGGTCCCTATGGCACCGCCCAAGCACTTGGGGACAACCAGCCAGGGCTGTGGTCCCCGGCCTGCATCCTCTCTACCCTCCCCATGCTCCAGACCCTTGAAATCTGGATCTCAGTTCCTCTCTGCCTGTCTCCCGCCCCCGACCAAGCCCAGCCCCCACTAAGCCTCCCGTGGCCTCTGACTTCAGCCCCACACCTCAAGTGACCTCCCGTGGTCATAGGGCACAGTGGTTCTTAGCAGGCTCTGGTCCCCCCACTCTGCCTCTCGGCTGTGTCCTCTTTCCAGTTCTTCCCCTTTCTGACCCCCAGCCTCCGCAGCAGGATGGAGACAGTGTGGCCACCTACCTGACACTGTCACAGTGACTGTGAGACTAGTACTCCTGCTTTGAGACCCAGCCTCATTCTGTAGCTCTTGTAATCCTCTTGCCTCCGTCTCCCAGAGGCTGGGAGGACAGTTGTGGGCCATCATGCCTAGCTTTAAGTGAGTGACTCTTCTTCATACACCAGGTGTTCACCTGAGATAGGATGTTGACCCCGTGAACAGAGTGGGGGCTGATCAAATGGAAGGCCACTGTCCAAACCCTCAGAATAAGGCCTGACATCCTTATGTTTATCAGAACTGTGGGTTGATATCTGAGTCCTCCACTTGGTCTTAAACCACAGAGGCACAGAGCAGGGTTTGGGGCCCTCTCCCTGGTGTCCTCAAGCCTGACACAGGTAGATATTCACAGGCTTGAATGAATGAGGGAATGAATGGGTTCCACACCTCCTACGCCATATTTCTCTGTGCCAGAAGTCATTCCCACTGGAGTATGAGGTATGAGACAGTACCACTTTTGCCTGGTCTGATCAGCATGCTTGAAACTGTGTCTCCCTGGAGGACGGCGACCCTGAGTGGTGGCTGTGTCCCTTTACCTTGAGTCCCCAAGCACAGCTCTCTATGTTTTCTCCTTTCTCTGAGGTAGCTCCTCCTTGGTAGAGACAACCCCCGCCCCCGGGGGTTCACTGGAGGAAGGCTCACCCCCAAGTCTGCAGGAAGGTTCACAGGTTGGAGACTTCACAGGGAGGCATCCTACCAGGCTGGGGTAAAGTCCAGATTGTCTGGGTCACACAAACTAGAAAGATCTCTGCAACTTGGGACTTGGAGCTGGGAAAGGGGCTGGTCCTGACCTCACAGTAGGACACAAGGCCCTGCTGGAAGCATCCAGTGGCTGTCATCCTGCGGCCACATCAAATCCCTGATCAAAAGGGGAACTGGCTCCCCAGGCAGACTTGTTCTATTTGTTTTTGGGCCTTTTTACTTCCACACAAAGCACTGTCAGCCCAGCAGCTCCTCAAACGCCTTGACCTCCCGTGGTTCTGTCCCCTGAAGTCCCCAGAACAGTTGACCTTCTTGTCCCCAAGCCTCTGCAGGGTCCTTTTATTCCTTACCATAGTGGAGACTCCAAGGCTCTGACTACCACTGTAGGTCTGGTGGCTCAACCCAAGAGCATCTATTGAGCACCTAATGTATGCCTGGCCCTTCCGTGTTATCCAGGGGACACAAATGTCAGTTTAGTCACACCTTAAGACTTCAGACTGCAGGCCTGGTTTTGAAGACCACCCATCACTAAATCTGAGGGGCAGGAAGAATCTTTGTGCTTAAGAGGATTAAGTTTACTCAGCAATAGCAAGCACTTGCTGGATATAGGCCAGGTGCTAGGCACAGCTGGAGGAGGTTCAGACAGCTCCCAGGTGGGGTCCCCAGGGTAACAAATGGCCACATGTTGAGCAGCTTGTGGCAACCTGGTTCAGCTCCCTCACTGCATCAAGACTCAAGTCCAGATGTGGCAGTGAGTACAGAGGTCTCCAACCTCCTCTTTACTCCCCTTTAGCTTCCAAATGCTACACAGAGAGCTTATTAGAAAAATCACCCCCCCACCCCGCATTCAGTTGCTTCGATTCAGGACTGTGGCCTGATGCGGAGGAGGGAGTCATGCGGAGGAGGGAGTCATACGGGCGGGCGGCTCGCAGTGAGATCAAGGTTTGGATCAGGCCTGTGTGGGGGAAGTCGAGTGTTAGAGGTTGATGTGTTAGAGGGCGATGAGGTGTCACAGAAGAGTGACCGAATTTCCTCGCAGCCATATGACCATACAAGGAAATGGGGGGGGGGGCAGACACAGTCATGGTTCCATGTGACCCAGTGGAGTCATTTCAATGCAGTCCCAGGCAAATGTCAAGGAAATGCCCGCTCCCCACCAGTTTACAAAGTGCTTTGGGGCCATTGTGAGAGCCGAGCTGAACGGCTTGGCTAGTAAAGTGCTCCCCCGGCAGACACAAGGACCTGAGTTGGATTCCCAGGACAAATACAAAGAGGAGGGTGTGGCAGCGTGTGCCCATAACCCCAGCGCCGAAGAAGCCAAGACAGAAGGGTCCCTAGTGTTCACTGGCTGGCCAGCCCAGCCGTCTTGGAGAGTTCCCAGTCAGTGAGGAACGATCTAAAAAATAAAGTGAATGGTCAGTGTCTGAGCAATGTGAGTGAGGTTGTCCTCTGGCCTACAAACACACGCACACACACGCACACACACAGACACATACACGCACACATGCACAGGTTGCATTTGGCACATGGCGTCTGCTTTATACTTAGGACAGTCCTCATTTGGAGCTGCCATATGGTGCATGCTTAATGGTCCCATGCCTGTGTGTTGGATTAGACGGCACAAGTGCAAAAAAATGGGAAGGGGGGGGCTGGAGAGATGGCTCAGAGGTTAAGAGCACTGCCTGCTCTTCCAAAGGTCCTGAGTTCAATTCCCAGCAACCATATGGTGGCTCACAACCATCTGAATGGGGTCTGGTGCCCTCTTCTGGCCTGCAGGCATACACACAGACAGAATATTGTATACAAAATAAATAAATAAATATTTAAAAAAAATGGGAAGGGGACCCCAGCAGCGCCTGCGTCAGGCCCAGCAGGGTCAGCAATATTCATCTACTGCTCAAGGACACAGTTTGATGGATCAGATCCGTGACCCTTGAGTGACCAAAGAGGCCAACAAGAAAACCATGAAAAACCCAACCAGTGGAGCTGGCTTGTCTAGTTCAGAAAACACAGATCAGCCCTCCAGTCAGTGTAGATGCGCCCAGTGGTGGTGGCATAGGAGAGACTCTATCAGGAGCCACACTGGAAATGCAGGTCCTGCTGGAGGGGCCTGTGGGACCAGAGGGAATGCTGTGTGTGATGGGGGCATACTGGGAGGAAAAGCCTTCCCGGTGGGGAACTAGGAAACCTGGCACAGTTAAAACGGAGGGAGGTCAGGAGGGTGTCCAAGAGCATCATCCCAGTTTAGGCAGAAGCCAGGCCACCCACGGAGAGGCCTAGAAACTGGGCCAAGAGCCTGCTGTCCAAGAATGTAGTGTAGGCACATGTGGAGAAGGGAAACGGGGGCTGGGAGCTGCTTTAAGGGCCCCAGGTCCCAGGTGCTTATGGTGGTGGGTGGGAGGATAGACCCACCTTCATGGTCCACAGGCTGTGCCCCAGGGTCCTCTCATAGGTGGCAGAACTGAGGCTTGTACCCCTACCCCCTGCAAGTGCCACTGGGCTGACCCCACCTCCTTCAGGAGAGTCCCTCAGGTGGTCTTCGGGGCTTGGGATCACACCTTCACCGCACAGTGTTGCGTGATGTCAGAGCAAGCACGGAACCTTCTTCTTCCTCTATGTCCTCTTCTGAGAAATGAGCATCCAAACTGCATCCATTCTCTGCATGCACAGGCAGGCATGTTGGTGATGGGCAAACTGTGAGTGGCTCCCGGCATCGGGACCCTCAGCGCAGACAGATGGGCGAAGTTGCTTTACTGGGCAGTCAGTCCCACTCTATCCCAGGGACACATCAGAGCAGGAACCCGGAGATAAGAACCCATGATCTGCCTCCCCATACCAGGGTCACAGGCTCCTGGGGTCCCCTGTCCTCTCCCTGCAGCACCCCCAAAAGCAGTTTCTAAAGTGGACCGTCACCAGCAGTGCTGAGAGCAGCCAGTCAGCAGCCCAGCCCAGCCCAGCCCGAGGCAGCAACAGCGTGCTGGTTAGAGAGGAGTGGCAGGCCCCTCCCGGCCACGTCTCTGCCGGTGCCCCCCTCCTCCCTCTGCCCAGCCATTCGTGCTGAGCTGTCCAACTTACAGCCACCCTCATCACCGGAGTTACAGGGTGGGCTAAAAATAACCTGAGGACCAGCCATCGCCCGGGGCGCAGGTGCTGGGTGGGGACACAGGATCCCAGAGACCCTGTGCGGAGGACCAAGCCTGAAGCAGGCAAAGTCCTTTGGTCCGTCTGCTCTCAGGCCCCACCCAGGCCAGCGTCCCTCCTCCCCCTTAACCCCTTTTACCTCCTGTCCCGGGCCTGCTGAGGTCACTCGTGCTGAAGGAAACCCTGCCACCAGCCTCAGGATGGGCTGCTGCAGCAGGAAGGCCCTTTGGTCTCTGGGCTTCATGCTGCTACTGGGCACCAGCTCTGCACAGGACACCTGGGAGGCATTGCTGCCCTCTGGGCTGGTCGAGAAGCCAAAAATAAGTGCCAGGATGTCCATAGGCCGGGCCGGCGGGGGGGGGGGGGGCTCTGTGGGTGGGAGGTGACCCAAGGGTCACCAGGTCCTCAAATGCTGTGGTTTCTCAGCAGGGTGGGAGTCTTCAGTTTGAGCTATAGTGGATGGGTGGATGGTTGGCAGAGGGGACTCAGTGCCCTCCCGAAGACACTCTCCTGCCAGCAGTGAGGAAGAGACATGTCTGCCCCACAGGGATCCACTTTGCCTTTTGAAACTTAGCTGAAGCATCCTTCTTCCTGGAAAGCAGAGTCTAGTAAGAATCTGAGGAGAAACTGAGCATTTAATATCCCCCCACCCAATACACCCACCCACCCCCAGTGCCTGAAGCCTGGCTGTGGTGTCTTGCTCAAGCAAGGAACCACTTAGTGGAAAGTATGCCGGCCAAGCTCTAGACGGCAACCTGTTGGTACAAGATGAAGAGGCCAGCTCTCCCCTTGAGGGGGAAGCCGGCTACCTGGGGACAAATGACAGCAATCCCTAGAAAGGTTCTGAGAAGAAAGCCAATGAGAAGCAGGCACGGGGGAGCCCTAAGGCTGGGTCTAAGGCAGAGCTTGTCTTTGGCTGTGTGACTTCCTGCAAGTTGCTTGACCTCTCTGGACCCCAACAATCTCCTCTGCAAAAGACAGAGTGATGTGTTCCTCTAGGCAAATAGGAGATTTTGTTGCTATTGTTGTGTGTGACATGCATGCATGTGTGTTTAGAGGTGTGCACATACACATATGTGCAAGTGCCTGTGGAGGCTGGCAGTTGGTGTCAGTTGCTTGACTTCGATTGCTCCATTTAGTTTACTAAGGTCTCTCCCTGAACCCAGTCAGGTGGGCTAGTCTAGCAGGCCAGCTTGACCTGGGCATCCTGCCTGCCTCCCGAGTCCTTGGGTTACAAGTGTCTGCCACTGCCGCTGGCTTTTACAGGCATTCTGGAGATTGCAACTCCGGCCCCACACTTGCATGGCAGGTGCAGCATCCACGGAGGCATCTCCCAGACTCTGGTGCTGGTGTTTTGCGGGCCACTGTTTGGCAGGCACTGTCCTGGGTGGGGAACTTGTCTGCCAGCGCCTGCTTGGGGTGGCTGAGCAGCAGGGTGGGCAGCAGAGCGTCAATGGGAGGAAGGAAGCCCTGGAGTGTGTGAGCTTTTGAGCACCGAGAAGACAGATAATGAGGAAAGGGCCGGGGTGGGTATAAGGTGGGCACCTTCCAGAGGAGCACAGGTCGAGGGAACAGCGTACCTGTGGTGACACTTCACACACCTGGGCAGATGTGCAAGCTTGGTGTGCAGAAAGCGCCCAGGACTCAGAATGGCTGGTGTGTCTCACAGGCTTTAAATCAAGGGATGGTGAAGTACCAATGCTTGCCTCCTGGGAGGGATGCAGGCTCCTGGGGCTGGGGCTGCTGGACTCCCTGCCTGGTTCCTGCCTTAGATCAGCACCTGGGACATTCTTGTGTATGATGTGAAAACAAGCGTGACTGGGACAGAAAGGGAGTTTGATCAGCTCTGCCCAGGAGCAACAGGAAGGGCCTTCTAGGGTTAGAGACATTTGACGAGGGACTTTGAAGGGGAAATACGAGTTTGCCCGGTCAAGAAGCATGGGGCTGGGATACTAATCCCTACTGAGCTGGATGTTTTTGCAGGAGGGGAGACAGAGAGTGAAGGGATTGGAGATGACATTCATATGAGACACGTAACCTCCAAAGGCTTCCTGGAAGAGGCGGCTATCCTGAAGGGAGTTTGAGGAATGATTAAGAATTAGGAGGAAGTCGGGTATGGTGGCACACATCTTTAATCCCAGCATTCAGGAGGAAGGTAGATCTCTGAGTTCAAGGCCAGCCTATAAGGAGATTTCCAGGCTGGCCAGGACTACACTAAGAAGCCCTGTCTCAAAAAAAAAAAAAAAATTAGAAGGAAGGAGGGGGGAATTCCTGGAAGGCTCAGCAGGACCTGAAGCTCAGAGGCCAGAGGCCATCTAGAGGGGGTTGGATTGGGAGGAGGGCCCGAGGGAGGGGCGAGCTGCAAGGAAAGATGCTTTTGTACCTTTCCCAGGCCCAGCTCTTTGTATCTTGTGCTCCCCTTGGACACAATCCCTGGGCTTTACCTTATCCACAGACATCAGCCCCTCCCTGCTGCCCAGACAGGCTTAGGGGACAGAGTGAAAGAAAGTGGGGGGAGAGAACACACCCTGGGGAAGGCCAGGCTGTGACTCAGAGGCTAGCCTTAGAAGTCCTTTTGCACAGACCTATCGAGGATCTGTGCTGGCTTGGGCCACTCGCTGCCCCTCTCTGGGTCTCAGGCCGTCCTTTAACCTGAAAGTAACCAGGAGAGATGCAGTCCACATGTGCTTAGAGGCAAGATGCTCGCGTAGCCTTGCTCCCCTCCTGCTGCTCAGTGCTGATTCCTTGATGATGGTGGGCTGGTCAGACCTTGGGACTCCAGCTGCAGGCATCTGGAGCAGGCTTAGCCTAAGGGGAGCTACTTTTATTGAGAACAGGGTCACAGTTAAACGTTAACTCCAGTATATCTACAATGGAGAATTCATTACAGTCTGGTCTAGAACGTTCTCTAAAGGCTGTGTTGAAGGTTTGATCCCTAATGCAGTCGTGGAGACAGAAGGGGCTTGTGGGAGGTGATTGACAGGTCAGAGCCTGAGGACTGGGTGGGTTAGTGGATCAGTCCCCTAATGGGCATATACCTGGATGGAGAGTCAGGATGTAGGATGTCCTGAGAACTTGAGAGGGTGGGGCCTGGTGGAGGAAAGAGCTCCCTGGGGACATGAATTTGAAGGTTTAACCTGTCCCTGCCTTTCCTCTCAGCTGTCTGTCTCCCCACTTCCCGGCTCTCCCCTCCGTTTCTGCTACGGTCTGCTTCTCGGGCAAACAACAAGACAGCGTTCAGAGTGAGACCTCAGAAACCCAGAGCCCAGGCGAACCTTTCCAGCTTCCCTTCCTGTTGACTTACTCAGGTGTTTTGTTATAGTACCGGAGTGCCCACTCACTTGCTCACAGTTGAGGGGGCAGCTCATCTGATACACAGCCCTCGGAGGGCGTGGCTGTTTTGTCTTTCTCGCTGGCTCTGACACTTATGCATCTGTGGACTTGTGGGAGACAATGAGGTTACACTTTATATTTCTCCTCTTTTCATAGCCTGGAGTTAGCCACACCAGGGTGGACAGCCCAGGCAATGGATGTAAGATGGTCATTAAACCCTGCCAGTCACGTGTACCTATGTCCCCTCCCTGGTTCATCCCACCTTGAAGCTGTTCAGTGGCGTGGCTTGTATCTGGAGACTGAATTTTTTTTTTCTAGAGCAAGGCTGTTCATTTCCTGAGTGACTCCCAGTAGGGGACAGACAGGAACACTAACCCTGTCTTCTCACGTGAAGCCCTAAAGAATACCTAGGGATGCCGGATAGTGGTGGCTCACACCTTTAATCCTGGAACCCAGGAAGCAGGGGCAGATGGATTTCTGAGTTTGAGGTCTGCCTGGTCTACAGAGCAAGTTCCCTAGGATTGTCTTCTATGGGAGCTTCAGTTTCCGTGTCTGCAGTGGGGAAATCAGGAACAGGTGCCTTGTGGATTCAAGAAACGCCCAGAGTTGGGGCGGGAGAGATGGTTCAAAGGTTGAGAGCACTGGCTGCTCTTCCAGAGGATCTGGGTTCAAGTCCCAGAACTCTCATGGTGGCTCACTACTGAGTGACTCCAGTTCCAGGGGATCCGACGCCCTCTTCTGGACCCTGCAGGCACCAAGCACACACTATGGTTCATAGACATACATGTAGGTAAAATACCCACACACATATAAAAATAAAAACTAAAAAGACCAGGCCTTTGTCTGTGCCTGGCACCACTTTGCGTGTGCATACACACACACTCGTGTCTATGTCTGTGTGTGTATTCGCTTGAGTGATGTGTGTGTAGATATTATGGGTGAAAACTTGCATACATGTGTAAACATATATATGCACATATGCATATGTGTGTTTAGGGTATGTATTGTATTGTCTCTATAGCTGTGAAACCTATGACGGTACTTCGGGCCGTGACAGCTGGGAGTGCAGGCACTGACCCCTTCCCCAGAGACCGCCCCACTTCGTGCTTGCTTTCAGGGTGTCTTGCCTGCACTCTTTGCTCTGTTGCTCTTATCAGCGAGATTTGTTTATCTTTTCACTAGCTGCTTTTGCAGAAGACAAAGGAAGTGGAAGGGTTGCTCCTAGGGTGTGTCTGGCTTGCTTAGTATCAGGGGAGAGTCCGCCCAAGCTGGAACTGGGCCAAGTGAAGATGGGCAGTGTCTTGGGGTCCAGCCCAGAATTCCTCAGAACCAACTGAGAGTCCTGCACATATAGGCTCAGGAAGAGGGTGTTCTTGCCACCCAGAGCATGAAGGAAGGCATGGAAAGTTCTAGAGGGCATCATGTGTGCAGCTGACAGCAACTCCGCTCCAGCTGAAGTCTTCGGAGCACCCTTCTGGGAAGAGCCCCACAGCCTGCTATAAAGGCCCAGGGCATCCTCACTCTGAGCCCCAGCGCTACAGGCCAGGGAGATGCTTATTTTTAGATCTCTGACGTCCGAATTCCAGAGGAAGGGCAAGTGGGGCTCCAAGGAAAGTTGGCTTTCTTCCTCCATCATGCAAACCAGACCTGGAAGACATTTTTATTGGTCTAGCTATGAAGTCTCTAGAACATTCCAAAGAAGGGCAAAGCTCTCTTATGGAAT